TTACATGCGGAACAACTTACTCCCAGCGGCCGCGGGAAGCAACTTCGACTACTACATTTTTCCACTTTCCACTTCTACAAATTTCCTTTCCTGCCTATCCTATTACTTCACCCCCAAAAACCCTATAACCCTCGTTTCCATAGGAAAAAATGCTGGGACTAGGGGTATATGAGGTGCAATACATAAACTACTTTTGCCGAAAATTGTTTTATGAGGTTAAAAATGAACTTGACAGAATTTTTTCAGATACGGGCCACAAAGAGACCTTGTCGTGGCCTCGTAAGGTAAAAGTTTTTTTGTTAATGAGACGTTATTATAAAGAGAAGTCTTGTCCGAATGATTTGACGTACAGTCAAAGGCGCTGTTTTCCGGAGCGATTAGAGCATACTGATCAGCATCGTTCATATAGAGATCACAGTCTTTGAGATCCTTGATGAATTTGTCAATGTTATGTGCCTTTGCGCATTCCGGTCTGTCGAGGAAGTCCTTTAAGGTGAGAGCTAAAACAAAATTAAAAGCGTTTCACTAATATGGTGAGGTATTTCCAAATAGAGATTAGTTGCGTTCAAAAAACTGAACCTCGTGCCTAGCAAAACTTCCAATCGATTGAATGCTGCATCGTAAGTAATAAGTAAATATTAATCAGAGAAATTTCTACTCTAAAATTTCTACCACATTTTGTAATCGAAGTTATGCTCCCCGTCATCTTTCCGAACATCTTGCCGCCCGACACCCTTCGGGTCACTTTTGGATTTTTTATCCTGAGTAATGAGCTTTTAAAGCTTACACCAAATGTATGTATGTATCGTAATTTGATCATGCTACAAAATACAACAAAAGTGGCTCATTTAAAGTGGAGTATGGGGTCTTCCTTTTTCAAAAGACATTATTTTGGGGCAGGCATCTCGTCAAAAATATGTTTGAATATATTTTGCATACGTATAGTTCAGTAAAGGGCTTTCAAAGTGAAATAAGTAGAATCGGTTTTGTAGGCCTTCAAGCTCATTTATTGGCATGTAATTGGATAAGTAACTTGAAAAGTATAGTTGGCAAACATATTTTTTTCGTAAATTCATCATCCGGCCTGTACAGCCGCATGGATACTGAAATTAGTGGAATTGGACAGGGTTAGTTCATGTCTAGAGGAGGTGGGAAATGATGCTAAGCTGTGAGTATTGGGTCTGGACCGAGTACGCGAAGTTAAAATCACTGTGCGCAGAGGCAATAAATGTCACCAGGAAATAAGGGTGGCATGCGATCGCGCCTGGCATCGGCGTGACAGTTATTTTCACTCCGCGTAATCGACCAATGATCAATACTCACAGGCTATTCTA